GCTCCAATTGTCTGGAAAACTCGCTTACAGAGAGGTATGAAGGGGAAGAGAATACCCCTTCATACCAGATAGACGAATTATTACATATTTCAGAATCCCCAAATGCTTCCCGAAACGACTAGCAGATTTTTCCCCAGAACTCTGAGGCTACCCTCTTATGCTCTGACACCAGTGCCCATCATGGAATCGCCTGTGTGGACTCCTAGGATAAGGACTGTCTGCCTTAAAAGGAGTTGATATCCAGCAAGACAAAAGACCTCCTGCAAGTCTAGCTCATCATGTCAAACTACAAATGTCTTTCCTCTTATTCTGCTCCAACATCTTGTGAGGCTCTGGTATATTGGGCACTAACTCAAAGAAAAGAAAATTAAGTTATTCCTAAGATTTTTTTCCTGGGTATGTGATCCCAGAACCTTGTCGTAAATATCGAATCCGGCTTCAGGGAGTGTGATGGGAAGAGGTTTGTAAAAGGCTTTTGATTCTAATTCTGACCAAGATGCTATACTAGAATGAATTTTAGCTCTGGTCACCAAAATCAACTCTAGAGGAAAACTTGAAGAAACTAGCAGGGAAGGGGATGTTTTCGACTGGAGAGTGAAGGGCAGTGAATTTTTCCTAAAGCAAGAGGCGACCCAGCACAGCTATGTAGGGAAATGGTGGAAGTTTGCATATGCAAATCACATTTAAAACACAAGGGCTAATTCATCAGTTAAAGATAAAACAAAGGGCTAATTCATCAGTTAAAGATAAAATCAAGTCCACCACAGGGTAGTTTACAGAAATTTATTAGGAAATATTCAAAATAACATGAATGAAAGAAGAAAAATACCATGATCATGAATAGAAAACCTTAATACCATAAAGATATCAATTGTCTCCAAATGGTTAATAGATTCAGTTCAGTTCCAATAAAAGTCCCTAAAATGTTTTTGGTTTTTTTTATGGAATTAAAGTGATTCTAAAATATACTTTATATGGAAGAGTGAAGGGCTGAGAATAACCTGGACAATTCTAAATTAGAGCAGCAAATGAGGAACATGCCCTTCCAGATATTAGGACTTACTATGACACCAGTAATTACAATAGTGTGACATTGGCACAGGAATAGGACACTTGATGAGTGGAATAGAACACAGAGCCCAGAAACAGCACACACAGAGAACTTTAATATGTGACAGAGATTGCATGTCAGAGGGAAAAGGGAGAAATGTTCAATAAAAACAGCAGGAAAAAATGGTT